GTTTAAGCACGGTCGGGCTTTTGTTCTTGCGTGTATACAAAACGAAGATGTCTCCTTCATGCTCGGTCATCAACTCTGGCGTATGCAATTCTAGCGGACTTAAAGCCYGACAGGGTTTCACTGGAAGAATATTCCAGCTTGTTTGACACGGGTCGAAAACACCAAGGTAGCCGCAMGAACTGAGTAAGTAGAACATACCATTGGAGAAGACGCATCTTTTCCATCTACGYTAGGGWTCACAGTTTCTAAACCTATGGACGGTCCATGCGGTTTGACCAGGCCGCCAAGTACTGATCGCTACAGTARRCATAWAAMATAGGTGTGTGTAGGAGATGACAAAACAGCTAGCTGAAGTAGGAGCGGCAGAGAAAGCTAAGGAATTATCAGTGTAAGTGAATTCGCCTTGGGGTAAGTAGAAGTGGTTCTTGGTAAAAGGGTTAAGAAAGAGTGCATATTTGTGACTGTATGATCTGACAAGCACCCAACCATCCCTAGAACAACAGATTGCATGGTCGTTCAACTCTGGGAAGTCGAGCTTATATGTTTGAGATGYAGAGCGTAGTGGGTTAASAAGAATGTAGGGTGATGCAGAGGGAYACTTTATTTTGAATMTTCCACACAAAAGCCAGGGACAAGGCTTTAAGTTACGGACAGAAACAGCTGATTCAAACCATGCCTTGCAGACAGAGGAAGCTCGGATGTTGGCTTTTAATCCAAGGCGGGACAGTATCCCCTGCAGGAGATTTAAGGGAATATCTAGATCCCACAATCCTGTGCGATATCCTTTAGCTTTTGCAGTGCATCTGGCAATTAGGAGAAGAATTCAGGGTAAGTTTAGCAAAACTAGAATGGAATTGGGACATTTCTCACGAACCTAGACCCTTAATTGAAACCCTCGGATTAAAACCAAAGAAAGGAAAAAAGAACTCACGATCGAAGCTTTCTTCTTTTTGTGCCGGACACTGGAACTATGGGATTCACTGTGGACGGCGGAGTTGCTTCCGTGTATGTACGACGGCGAGTCCTCATTTTCGGTTAAATTTGTATCCTAGGCCCTCACCAACCACCGGAGATTCCGATCTCCAATCGGATTTATACAACTACAGGAACACACAC